GTACATGCAGCCAGCTGCCTAAACCAATAGACCTGTGACCTGGAGCCAACAACTACCCCCTCCTTCCTGGGAGTGTGTGCACCGGCCATGCACCTGCACACACCCTATCAAGGGGATAACAACCAGCACACCCTGAGGAAAGAGGTAGCAAGCATCAAAACCAAAAACAGCATTCATGCCAAAAAAAAAAACAATGTTAAACCCACACAAGCTATGCAGGGACACTATATAAATAGCCTTCCAACACTACAGTATATATTTGTTTTGCCTAAACACAGAGTAAGAGAAATAAGCAAAATGAAGAAACAGAGGAACAACTCTCAGATAAAAGACCAAGAGAATTCTCCTGAAGGAGAAAAACAATGAAACAGACCTCTTCAGTCTAACAGACAGCAAGTTCAATAAGGAGGTAATGAAAATACTGGAGGAACTAAGAAAGGCTATCAACAGAAATGCAGATTACTGTAAAAAAGAGCTAGAATCTATAAGGACAGTCAAGAAAAATTTAAAAAGTCATTTGCTGAGACAAAAGCTGAGCACAAGGCAATGAATAGCATAATGAATAATGCAGAAAAAAGAATAAATGACCTGGAAGATAGAATAATGGAAATTACCCAATCAAAACAACAGACAGGGGTTTCCCTGGTGGCACAGGGGTTGAGAGTCCGCCTGCCGATGCAGGGGACACGGGTTCATGCCCCAGTCTGGGAAGATCCCACATGCCGTGGAGTGGCTAGGCCCGTGAGCCATGGCCGCTGAGCCTGCACGTGCGGAGCCTGTGCTCCACAACAGGAGAGGCCACAACAGTGAGAGGTCTACGTACCGCAAAAAAACCCAAAAAACAAAAAACAAAAACACAGCAGACAGAAAGCCAAATGAAAAAAAAATAAAATAAAAAAGAAAGCAATATAACAGACATATGGGATAATAAAAAGAGGGCCAGTCTATGCATAATAGGGATTCCAGAAGGAGAAGAAATAGTAAAGGGGATTGAAAATATATTTGAAGAAATTATGGCTGAAAACTTCCCAAATCTAAAGAAAGAAACAAACATCCAGATACAGGAAGAACAGTGGGTCCCATACAAGATGAACCCAAACAGACCTACACCAAGATATATTATAATAAAAATGGAAAAATTTAAAAATAAAAAGAGAATTCAAGAAGCAGCAAGAGAAAAGCAAAGAGTCACATACAAGGGAAATCCCAAAAGGCCTTCAGCTGAGTTTTCTGCAGAAACTTTGCAGGTCAGAAGGGTGTGGTATGATACATGCAAAGTACCAAAAAGGAAAAAAAAATGCAACCTAAGAAACTCTACTCAGCAAGTTTATCATTTAAGATTGAAGGAGAGATAAATAACTTTTCAAACAAACAAAAAATTAGAGGGTTTGGCAAAACCAGAAACTATAAATATGGCATTATTAATTGTGAAGCTTAATGGAACAATTGATGTTCCTGTGTAACTTGTTTACATAATTAAAATCTTTGATCTGTAAGTAAAAGATTTAATCATACTGCTCATTAGAGTAAATAGACCTTTAATTCAATTATATTAAGATAGTATATACAATTTTCAGATCTTCAGAAAACATTTGCTTGATTGTTAAGTAACCTTAAAAATCTATTTGTGACCAAATATCTGTTTTCTCTCTTTATGAAAGTTATTAATTCTAAAGTATTTTATTTATTTCCTCTAATTTAGCTTGTTGAAATAAGAATCTACTAGAATAAGTACCATCTTAATCAATTTATGTTCATTAACTACTTCACTATGAAAAGAATAATCCATAAATCCATACTGTCTGCATTGTCTGGGGAATATGTATGCTTTATTTAAAAAAAATACACATATGGTAACCTTTACTCTCAACTAAAATTATATAAGATCTTAAGAAATACTCATAAGTGATGCATCTTAACTATTTTATATATTACATATATCAGTTATTATTTCAAAAACTAAATATGTTGAGGGCTTCCCTGGTGGCACAGTGGTTGAGAGTCCGCCTGCCGATGCAGGGGACGCGGGTTCGTGCCCCGGACCGGGAAGATCCCACATGCCGCGGAGCGGCTAGGCCCGTGAGCCATGGCCGCTGAGCCTGCGCGTCCGGAGCCTGTGCTCCACAACGCGAGAGGCCACAGCAGTGAGAGGCCCGTGTACCGCAAAAAAAAAAAAAAACTAAATATGTTGAATAAAAACTACTTATTATTTTGCCTGCAACAGCCATGAAGCAGAGAGGAAGACCCAAATTAAATCCTGCACAAGCTCTAGGTACTACAACACCAACCACACCCACTCTCAAGGGGCTAATAGTCTGCACACCCTGAGAAAATATGTGGCTGGTGTCCATACCAATACCAGTCCCCCAACAAAAACACTAGACACAAAGAGTCTACACAGGTATGCTCCCACATAAAAACAGTCCAACACCACAGTAGATAATGGTTTCTCCTAAATTCATAGAGACAGAGAAAGTTATGAAAATGAAAAGGCAGTGGTACTACACTCAATTAAAAAAGAGAGAGAGGGCTTCCCTGGTGGCACAGTGGTTGAGAGTCTGCCTGCCGATGCAGGGGACATGGGTTCATGCCCCAGTCTGGGAAGATCCCACATGCCATGGAGCAGCTAGGCCCGTGATCTATGGCCGCTGAGCCTGCGCATCCAGAGCCTGTGCTCTGCAATGGGAGAGGCCACAACAGTGAGAAGCCTGTGTAACACAAAAAGAAAAAAAAAAAGAGAGAGAGAGAGAGAAATATCCTGAAAGAACAAATAATAAAATAGAGCTTCCCATTCTACTAGACCTTGAGTTCAAAAAGGAGGTAATTAAATATGCTACTTATTATACATAGAAATGTAGATCACTGTAACAAGTAACTAGAAACTATAAAAATGAACAAATAAAAAAAAAATGAACCAATAAAATATATACAATTCTATTGCTGAAATAAAAGAAAATGCAGAAGCAATGAATAGCAGACCAAATAACAGAGAAAAACAAATAAGTGATCTGGAAGCTAGAAAAAAGGAAATAATCCAATCAGAACTGCAGACAGATAAATTTTTTAAAAAGATGAAAACAACACAGAAGATGTAAGAGATAATATAAAATGCACCAACCTACACATAACCGGGGTTCCAGCAGGAGAAGAGGGAGAGAGGGGATTGAAAATGTATTTGAAGAAATTAGAGCTGAAAAATTCACACTTAAAAAAGGAAACAGATATCCAGGTACAGGAAGCACAGAAGGTCCCCAACAAGATGAACCCAAACAGACCCACACCAATATATATCATAATTAAAATGGCAATAGTTAAAGATAAGGAGGAGATTCTAAAGGCAACTAGAGAAAAACAAAGGGTTGATTACAAGGGAAACACCATAAGGCTATCAGCTGCTTTTCTGTGGAAATTTTGCAGGCCAGAAGAGTGGCAAAATAAATTCAAAGTCTTGAAAAAGAAAATTCTGCCACCTAGAATACTCTTCCCTACAAGATTTAGAATCATTTAGAACAAGAGGAGAAATAAAGAATTTCTCAGACAAGCAAAAACTAAAAGAATACAGCAGTACTAAACCTATCATAAAAGAAATACTGAAAGACCATCTCTAAACAGAAAAGATGCAAGAAGTTATAGGAAGGAGGAAATCACAATCGGAAAGTAAATCACAAATTAGTCAGTATAGAGAACAAAAAGAAAAAAAAAAACTATTTGTGAAAGCAATGATAAGCACAAGGAAAATCAAAAGGATAAACATGAGGGCTTCCCTAGTGGTGCAGTGGTTGAGAGTCCGCCTGCCAATGCAGGGGACACAGGTTCATGCCCCAGTCCGGGAAGATCCCACATGCTGTAGAGTGGCTAGGCTCGTGAGCCATGGCCGCTGAGCCTGCACGTCTAGAGCCTGTGTTCTGCAGCAGGAGAGGCCACAGCAGTGAGAGGCCCGCATATCGCAAAAGAAAAAAAAAAAAAGAATAAACATGAAGATGAAAAAAGGATATCAAAATCATAAAATGTGGGGAAGGATAGGAAGAAAATGCAGATTCTTCTTCTTTCTTTTATTTTTTAATATGTTTGAGCCTATATAACTGTCAGTCTAAAGCAAGCAGATATAGGAAGGTATTAACATACTTGAAAACAGGGCAACCACAAATGAAAAACATACATTAGATTCACACACAGAAAAAGAAGAGAACACAAGCATAAAATAAAACGAAATCATCAAAACACAAAAAGAAAAACAAAAAAGATAAAGAAAGGAACAAGAAAAATGAAGAATCAACTGGAAAACAAGTTTGAAATGGTAATAAATACATATGCATCAATAAATACCTTAAATGTCAGTGGACTTAATGTTCCAGTCAAATACATAGAGTGCCAGACTGGATAAAAAACAACAACAAAAACAAACAAACAAAAGAACAAGAGCCTACAATATGCTGTCTACAAGAGACCCACCTCAGGGCAAAAGACACACATAGATTGACCGTGAGGGAACAGAAAAAGATATTTCAGGCAAATGGAAATGAAAAGTAAGCAGGAGTTGCAATACTCATATCAGACAAAATAGACTTTAAAGTAAAGATTATAAAGAAAGATAAAGAAGGACACTATAATGATAAAAGTATCAATGCAGGAAGAGGATATTTCACTCATCAACTTATATGCACCTTATATAGAAACAATGAAATATATAAAATGAATACTAATAGACATAAAGGGAGAAATCAATGGGAATACAATAATTATAGGAGACTTTAACACCTCACTCACATCAATGGACAGATATTCTAGACTGAGACTCAATAAGGAGACAGAGATCCTAAATGATACAGTAGAACAGTTAGACTTAATTGATATCTCCAGGACATTACATCCAAAAAAACCAGGATACACATTCTTTTCAAGCACACACAGAACATTCTGTAGGATTGACCACATACTTGGGCACAAAACTAACCTCAAAAAATTTAAGAGTGCAGAAATTATTTCAATCATCTTCTCTGACCACAATGGCATGAAACTAGAAATCAACCACAGGAAAAGAAATGAGAAAAAATTGACTACAGGGAGACTAAACAACATCCTACTAAAAAACCAAAGGGTCAATGAGGAAATAAAAAAGGAAGTTAAAAAGTACTCTGAGACAGGGCTTCCCTGGTGGCGCAGTGGTTGAGAGTCCGCCTGCCGATGCAGGGGACACGGGTTCGTGCCCCAGTCCGGGAAGATCCCACATGCTGCAGAGTGGCTGGGTCCGTGAGCCATGGCTGCTGAGCCTGCATATCCGGAGCCTGTGCTCTGCAACAGGAGAGGCCACTACAGTGAGAGGCCCACATACCGCAAAAAAAAAAAAAAAAAAAAAAGTACCCTGAGACAAACGACAATTAAAACTCAAACATATAAACCTATGGGATGCAGCAAAAGCAGTTCTTAGAAGAAAGTTCATAGCTATACAGGCCTTCCTCAAAAAACAAAATAATCTCAAGTCAAAAACCTAACCTAACACCTAAAAGCATTAGAAAAAGAACGAACCAAACCTAAAGTCAGCAGAAGGAAGGAAATAATAAAGATCATGGATGAAATAAATAAAATAGAGATTAAAAAACAATAGAAAAAAATCAATAAAACCAAGAGCTGGTTCTTTGAAAGGGTAAACAAAATAAATAAACCTCTGGCCAGGCTCACCAAGAAGAAAAGAGAGAGGGAACCCAAATAAACAAAATAAGAAATGAAAAAGGAGAAATCTCAACTGATACCATAGAAATACAAAAAACCCTTAGAGAACACTATGAATAATTATGCACCAAAAAATTTGACAACCTAGAAGAAATGGGCAAATTTCTAGGAACATACAGATCATGAAAATTGAATCAAGAAGAAATAGATGATTTGAACAGGCCGATCACTAAAACTGATATAGAATCTGTAAAAAAAAAAAAAAAAAAAAATAAAGCAGAAAAAATAAAACTCTCTACAAACAAAAGTCCAGGACCAGATGGCTTCACAGGCAAATTCTACCAAACATACAAAGAACTTATACCAATTCTCAAACTCTGCCAAAAGATTGAAGAGGAGGGTACACTCTCAAAGAGATTCTATGAAGCCATCATCACCCTCATACCAAAACCAGACAAAGACACCACCAAAAAGAAAATTACAGGCCAGTATCTTTGATGAATATAGATGCAAAAATTCTCAACAAAATATTATCAAACTGAATCCAACAACACATAAAAAAGATCATATACCATGACCAAGTGGGATTCATCCCAGTTTCACAAGGATAGTTCAACATTCACAAATCAATCCGTGTAACACATCATATTGACAAAAGAAAAAAAAAACACATGATCATCTCAATAGATGCAGAAAAAACATTTGACAAAATTCAACATCAATTCATGATAAACACTCTTAGCAAAGTGGGAATAGAGGGAACATATCTCAACATAATGAAAGCTATTTATGACAAACCCACAGCCAATAAAATACTCAACAGTAAAAGCTAAAAGCCTTCCTGCTAAAATCTTGAACAAGACAAGGATGCCCACTCTCACCACTTCTATTCAACATAGTATTGGAAATCCTAGCCATGGAAATAAGGGAAGAAAAAGAAATAAAAGGAATCCAAATTGGAAGAGAAGAGGTGAAATTGTCACTATATGCAGATGGCATGATACTATACATAGAAAACCCTAAGGAATTCAAACAAAAACTACTACATCTAATAAATAAATTCAGCAAAGTGACAGGACACAAGATTAACATTCAAACATCCATTGCATGTCTTTACACTAACAATGAAATATCAGAAAGGGAATGTAAAAAAAAAAAAAAACCTTTTAAAATAGCATCAAAGGGCTTCCCTGGTGGCGCAGTGGTTGAGAGTCCTCCTGCCGATTCAGGGGACATGGGTTCGTGCCCCAGTCCAGGAAGATCTCACATGCCGTGGAGCAGCTGGGTCCATGAGTCATGGCCGCTGAGCCTGTGCATCCGGAGCCTGTGCTCCACAACGGGAGAGGCCACAACAGTGAGAGACCCGCATAGCACACACACACACACACACAAAAAATAGCACCAAAAAAAAAATACTAAGGAATAAACCTGAGCAAGGTGGTGAAAGACATATAGGCTGAAAACTGTAAAACATTAATAAAGTAAATTAAAGAGGATTCAAAGAAATGGAAAGATATCCCATGTTCTTAGACTGGAAGACTTAATATTGTTAAAATGGCAATGCTACCCAAAGCAACCTACAGATTTAATGTGATCCCTATCAAAATACCCAAGATATTTTTCACAGAACTAGAACAAATAATACAAAAATTTATAAGGAACCATAAAAGACCCAGAATTTCCAAAGCAGTCCTGAGGGGGAAATATACAAAAGCGGGAGGCATAAATGTCCCAGACTTCAGACAATACTGCAAAACTACAGTAATCAAAACCATGTGGTATTGGTACAAAAACAGACATACGGATCAATGGAACAGAATAGAGAGCCCAGAGATAAACCCACACACCTATGGTCAATTAATCTTCAACAAAGAAGGCAAGAATATTAAATGGGAAAAAGACAGTCTTTTCAGCAAATGGTGCTGGGAAAGTTGGACAGCTGCATGTAAAGAAATGAAGTTAGAACACACCCTCATGCCATTCACAAAAATAAACTCAAAATGGCTTAAAGACTTAAACATAAGACATGACACCATTAAATTCCTAGAAGAGAGCATGGGCAAAACATTCTCTGACATAAATCGCACAAATGTTTTCTTAGGTCAGTCTCCCAAGGCAATAGAAATAAAAACAAAAATAAACATATGGAACCTAATCAGACTTACAAGCTTTTACACAGCAAAAAAAAAAAAAACATAAATAAAAATACAAAAGACAGCCTATGGCATGGGGGAAAATATTTGCAAATAATGTGACAGGTGAGGGCTTAATCTCCAAAGTATACAAACAGCCCATACAACTCAACAACAAAAAAAAACAAACAAACCAATTAAAAATGGGTAGAAGACTTTAATAGACATTTCTCCAAAGAAGACATACAGATGGCCAGTGGGCACATGAAAAGATGCTCAGCATCACTAATTATTAGAGAAATGCAAATCAAAACTGCAATTAAGGGCTTCCCTGGTGGCGCAGTGGTTGGGAGTCCGCCTGCTGATGCAGGGGACGCGGGTTCGTGCCCCGATCTGGGAGGATCCCACATGCCGCGGGGAGGCTGGGCCCGTGAGCCATGGCCGCTGGGCCTGCGTGTCTGGAGCCTGTGCTCCGCAATGGGAGGGGCCGCGGCAGTGAGAGGCCCGCGTACCGCAAAAAAAAAAAAAAAAAAAAAAAAAAAAAACTGCAATTAAGTACCACCTCACACTGGTCAGAATGGCCATCATTAAAAAGTCTACAAACAACAAATGCTGGAGAGGGTGTGGAGAAAAGGGAACCCTCCTACACTGTTGATGGGAATGTAAGTTGGTGCAGCCACTATGGAAAACAGTGTCAATGTTCCTCAGAAAACTGAAAATAGAATTACCATATGATACAGAAATCGCACTCCTGGACATATATCCAGACAAAACTATAATTCAAAATGATAAATGCATCCCTATGTTCATAGCAGCACTATTCACAATAGCCAAAACATGGAAACAACCTAAATGTTCATCGATGGATGAATGGATAAAGAAGATGTGGTACATATATACAATGGAATACTACTCAGCCATAAAAAAGAATGAAATAATGCCGTTTGCAGCAATATATATGCAACTAGAGATTATCATACTAAGTGAAGTAAGTGAAAAAGAGAACGACAAACACCATATGATATCACTTATATGTGGAATCTAAAATATGGCCCAAATGAACCTGTCTACAAAACAGAAACAGACTCACAGACATAGAGAACAGACTTGTGGTTGCCAAGGGTGAGGGGGGTGGGGGAGGGAAGAACTGAGAGTGTTGGATTAGCAGATGTCAACTATTATATATAAGATGGATAAACAAGGTTCTACATAGCACAGGGAACTATGTTCAATACCTTGTGATAAACCATAATGGAAAAGAGTATAAAAAAAATGTCTATATGTGTATAACTGAGTCACTTTGCTGTACAGCAGAGATTGGCACAACATTATAAATCAACTATACTTCAATAAAAATATAAAATAAAATAAAAAGATGGGAAGTAGCTGCAACTCTCATATGATGCTGGTAGGAATTTAAAATAGTACCAATACTTTGGAAAACTGTTTGGCAGTGTCTTAAAAATACATCCATACATGTCTTATATGATCCACTCCTAGATATTCAGTCAAGAGGAACAAAAGTGTATTTAATTTCAAGACTGTCATGTGAATGTTCACAGCAGCTTTATCATAGTAGCCTAAAACCGGGAACAACTCAAATCTCATCAGTCAAGGAATTGATAAACAAGCTGTGATATATCCAAACAATGTAGTACAATTAGCAATAAAAGAAAATAACTATGACATTTTCAATGAGTATGATTCTCAAAATAATTACTATAAGTGAAAGAAGCCAGACAGAAAAGCATATATACTTTATGATTCTATTTATATAAAACTCTAGAAAATGCAACCTAGTTTTTAGTGACAAATGAAAATCAGTGGTTGCCTGGGGGAGAGGGCAGAGAAGAAAGGGAGAGTGGAATTACAGAGGGGTACTAAAATACTTTTGTAAGTGATGAATATACTTATTATCTTTTTTGTCATGATAATTTCATTGGTATGAGTATATAAAATTACCAATTTGTATGTTCTTAATATATACAGTTTATTACATGTAAATTATACCTCAATACAGCTCTTTTAAAAAGGGAACTTCAATGTTTTGCATTCTGAACTTTGATTATATAATATGTTTTTGTATTTTCAATAAGAAATTTTTCATATTCAGAACCAGATCACTAGAAAGGATACATGTTAAACTTGAGTTTTTACCAGGCTAGCACATAGAAATGAAGAATGAGACAGTAATTCTGTAGCAAAAATTTGTGTTAATGCTACTGATTTTAAAAAGCAAAGGCAAAAGTGATACTTACCCTGCCAATAAGTTTGCTGCATCTAATATAAATTGATGATCTTTTTTTATTCAGTACCAAAAGGAAAATGTCCTTTATTTACACATCTTATCCATAAGTTGAGATTCATTTTGAATCCCATAATCCTTTAGAAAGTACTCTGATGTCATAACTTTCTGAACTTTTACTGTCACATAAAGGTTAGTATTTGATTCAACCATAGTAATTTCATTAAGATCCTTTCCTTTTGGTTACTCAGATTGTAAGATTTAAAGCTTTATTGTCCAGTACTATAGCCACTAAACATATGTGGCTATTTAGTTCTTGAAAAGTGGCTAGTGACACATATTTGGCTAATA